GCTGTCTTCGAATGGCTTTCATCAATTGACATCTGTTTCTCTGCGGGTCCAGATAAAGTTCCGAGCTGTATTTTAAAATATTGCGCTAAAGCCCTATCTCATCCTTTGACCTTCTTATTTAATTTATCCCTGGCCTTGACCTTGATGAATTAAGCATTTGGTGTTCGAATAACCTACTTTTCTTGAACCATTCCAAGTGCAAACTTATGACTTTTTACCGCCGTGCCCCACATTTTGTCTCCTATTCTCTAGGACACCATGCTCTGGATCGAATCTCCACATCAAATGACTTAGGAGTCCTATTCGATCACAAGCTATGTTTTAATAGCCATATTGCTTCAACTGTTAACAAAGCTAAGGGAGTTCTTGCGTTTATTAAGCGTTGGTCAAAAGAGTTTGACGATCCATATATAACTAAAACACTGTACGTCTCGTTGGTTCGCCCGATATTGGAGTATTGTTCTTGTGTGTGGAGTCCACAATACAAGAAGCAACAAATAATTATTGAATCCGATCAAAAACAATTTTTAATATTCGCCCTTAGAAATCTAAACTGGGACTCTAACAGACTCCTTCCACCATACCTATCTAGGCTAAAACTACTGAACCTACCCTCTTTACACCATCGCAGAATTTGCAGATAATTGTTAATTAAAATAAATAAAAAGCTGCCTCATTGCCCAAATTTACAGCTTCTTCCGCTTTACTCCTTCCTTTCGACCTTAGCTACCTTTCCAATTCGGTTATTACACTTTAAATTCAGAAATCATAGCTAAAAGCCCTACTTGATTGTTCATTCTCTTTGCTAGGGATGGAAAGGATTTAACCGTCTAGTTTTTAGCAAGTGTTGAAGCCATTCCCCATTCGATGTGTTCTAGTGTTGGAAAAGCTTACATCGTGTTTTGTTTTGTGTTGAGTTGCCTCCTCTAGGACATAATGACAGAGGCATATTTTTTTGAGTGCTTAATCGAAAATTTGCAAGATGTGAAAAAAGATTCGGTCTCTAAAAATACGAGAAAGTTTATTCTGAATAACTTGATTCTGCAATCAACTCTAATAAAATCAATAACATCAATCTTCTTAAGCAATGGTAAGACTACACCTTTTTTGTGAGTACATTTAAATTTAATATGTGTCCCCCACGATACCCCGTCGTTACATGTGTAGGCTCCTACAACCGGTACATACACCAATAAAATTCACTATGTCAAAAAGCAGATCCTCGAAAAGGTAACAATGAAGCAATATGCACAAGTTTTTATGCTGCCCATGGACAGAAGAAACCGAGATATTGCGGGACTCAAAAATCCCATGGACCTGGGCACAATCACTATTCGTGTGCAGAAACGGCGCTATCGAAATGAAGATGAACTGATTTTCGATCTCAAACTTGTCTATCAGAATTGGCTTTCGTTGAAGAGGGAAAGTGCAATCCTGTGCCGGCCTGGCAATCAAGTTGCAAAAATTCGTGGAGAACAAGGTGTCGAAAATGTCAGAGGGCCAGGAGTTGGAGATCAATAAGGATTCCAAGATGACGGTCAAGTCCCTCCAAAATTTTCCCTGGCGGCAGTTAAATAGCACAGAGCCGACTCCAACAGAGCCTATGAATGTGTGTGTGCATGTGACACCAGAGCTTGTCGCTGATCCTACGGATGTTTAGACAGAGCCCTATGAAGAGGATGATTCATTGCGGATAATCACACAAATTCTGAGCAAAACGCAGCTGATGCACTACCTTCAGCCACCCGATATAAGTATCTATGTTGATACTCTTGGTGACTGCAGCAATGAATGCAACTGTCAGTTGTGGGACAGCAACGTGGATGCTTTGACATCGCATGAGCTGCAGACTGTCATGCATATAGCGTTGCAACATAATGTGCCAGTCACTATGAAAAAAGGCAGAATGGACTTAAGCATAACGAAATTCTCCCCCAAAGTTATATCCATATTAAATGAGGCTCTCCTTCAACGCAGACGCAACGATTCTGTATTGCTGCAACTTATGACAGCTGATGAACGGCAGGTTATGACGGAATATTTGGAAAACAGGTTGCTCAGACTCAACACCCTCTTGAACATATCAAATCGTACGAGTACTTTAAGGAGACACGCCACTATCAGTAACAGTCAGGATCTGGAACACTCCGGAACGGTTATCTGATGACGAAAAGGAGGAAAAGGGAGGAGGAAAGCATGTTAAAAAAGGACAGACCTAAAAGAAATCGTAAAGGATGGAAGAACAGGCGAAACAAATAGAAAATTACTAACAAGTTAATACATACATATATATATATGTGCATATATGCATATTAAATATTCAAAAATAATTGCAATGTCCGATCGACACGTACACAACCCACCCCAATAAAAATTAAATTCGTCGTTTATTTCTTGCGGTTTAAGATTGTGTCTTTTGTGTGTTTCTCTATTCTGTATGAGTTCTGCAGATTTCCAAAATAACCATGAACATGATAATACTATT